GTACAGCTCGTACAGCTTGATAAGTAATTGTTCCATGTTGAATCTTTCATCTTACTTACTTATGCCTGTTAATCCCGATGGAGCATTGGCCGACGAGTAGCATTCGCCAACCCATTTTGTCCTCAGCCTTCTTTTCTAGTTCTATACAATTTTTGTTCATAGTTTCCATGTTTGTCTCCATTTCTCAGTGTAATGTGTTCTTTGGTCTTCCTCTTTTCCTTTGACCTTAAGGATTCAAGGTGAGGGCTTGTCTCGTGACTCAGTTGAGTGCTTTCCTCTATATGTGTCCTATCCATTTCCAGCGCTACTTCCTGATTTCTTCTTCCACTGAGAACTTATAACTTTACATCGCATTAAACAAAACCCTATGTTTTATAGTGTATGTACTATGTTTTTTCAGCAATCTGGACAAACTTCCATGAAATATCCATCATCAAGTTGTATAATTTTAATTATTAGTTGATCAAAACTTATTACATGACTTTCTTTCGACAAGTTAAGACATAGCAATCTTAGTACTGTGACAAACCAATAACATCCGACTGGTATGATTAGCCTAGAGTCCATATTGGTCCTATATTTTATTAGCCCTTCCATTTCAGTCCGGAATGTCAATACCACATTCCACTATGCAAATCATTTATTTCAAACATACTTGGTTTATATATCAATCAAACAGATTATATCACATAACATTTGTATACGATCAAGCCAAACAGTGGCTGTGAACATGGAAGATTGTAATCAAGGTAGGTCCCGGGTTCGAGCCCCGCGTGGTGCGGGATCGTGGATGCGCACTGCTGAGGAGTCCCATACCAGGACGGAACGGCCGTCCAGTGCTTCCAGGTTTTCAATGGTGGTCTAGCTTCAACTGACTCATGATTTCAACCTGTGAAAATTTCTAAAACTCTCCACAAAACCCATTCTGAAACTAAGTATAATTTAATAATAGTAAACTGTATCATAATAGTCTATAGATCAAAATGAAGCTTATAATAAAAGGAATATAGATATACAATAGGAATATATATAATATTAGTCCATTAATAGATCTCTTCACTAGGATATAACAATCACCTTAAAGGAATGCTTATAGTACAATTTTACAAATCATTTATCACTATCATATTTCAATATATATGATTGATTTTATTTACAGTTTGTCAATAATTTCAGGTTGATATTTATATCCTTGTTGACTAGTTGGCTAAGTTAACCTCTGATCATATGATTGTTACTTTTTTTTTGGGGGGGGGGAGTTTTTCTTGTTGTTGTTGTTGTTGCAATAATTTCTAGAATTAATTTACATTAACATATCCACTGAATATTGATTAACATGTGTGGTAGAGTTACAGAAATGATGTCCTTTTTGAAATGTATCACTCCAGAAATATAACAAGATTTCTCTTTTTTTCTTCTTTTGTTTTCAATCGAATTCATTTATGTGATAATCTGTTTGGTTTAGGATAACTAAAATCGTATTATTCTTCCTTTCAAACTGTTATAACCCGTAGTTTGAGTGCCCTGTTTATTGTATAACGTAACGATACCGCCAATTAGAGAACAGTGAATTATCGATTGAACCAATGACGAATAAGACACGTATGAGCAGTCTAGAGTCCATATCGATCTTGCTTCCCACCTATCCCTACCTGTTAAGTACAGAACATCAATCTCAACCTATGCAATATGAATCATTTATTTCATACATCCTGGGTTTATATATCAACTAGATAGATCACATCGTACCATAAAATGTGAAACATCATTTGTACAAGAGTTAGCCAAATGTGGCTGTGGATGAGGGAGGTAGCAATTAATAGACAGTGAATAACTCAAGAATGGTAAATCGTATAATAATAGTTTGTAGGTCAAAATAAAGCTTATGATAAGAGAAACATGAATAAGATTAGTTAAGTGGCTTAACAATTATTCAATAGAAATATATGTATAGTATTGTTTGAGAAATGGATCCCAAAAGTTACCATTCATTATGCTTATCGGGATATAACACAAACTGACATCGTTTATTTTTATAGATAATGTCTAAATAATGTTGTTTCGGTATTATATTCTTCTCATTTATATACATGAGAATAAAGCAATTGTGTTTAACTCATGAACTAAACTAATTTCAAAAGTTTTATTAAATTTAGATTGTGGTTAACAGTGAAATAATCGATACGTATTTCGTTCGATTTGGGACTCTTCTTTTTTTTTTTCTTCAATATCCCTAAAGTTTTAGTGATAACGTACCTACTGAGATCGAAATCAGATGTCTTTCACATTAGATAATAATAAATTAGTAAATATTATGAAAATCCAATGGTAGTTTACATGACGTTTTTCATATATGATAAATTGATGATATGTCTTCAGGTTAACCTAAAAAGGTAGTCAGTGTCAAGGCAAATAGTTTGAGAACTTATAACTAATGGAATGAATTAATTTGGAACTAATGAGATAATCTGAGTAATTCACATTTCTGTTTAAAGTTGACATTAGTTATGGTGTATTTATTTTATTTATCTAAACACATAAGGAGGTACCAAACAGATATACGTCACATAAATCATTCGATTTGTTTGAGGGCTGAGATACTGCCCGGGTGCCCAAACCGAAGCAGATGGTTTTCTTAGGGGCCACACCTCGAACCTTTGACCTAAAGGTCTGACCCACAAGGCAGTGGGGCAACGTTATGAAATGCATTCCCATGATAGACGGTGATCAACGGTTAGTTCATACTCCATTTGTTCCTTCAGGATACTGGATCCCATGTGCACCATTGATTTGGAATCAGAGTTTTCCAACTCCTCTAGGTGGACTCTATGTGTCCACTAACCCGGTTAAAGCGCTGAGCATTCGCTTTTCGTACTCTCAATTTCGTAAACAACACTTCTACCCCTCGAGAAGGTAGTGAGTAAGACTTCCCTGCCAGCGGTTGTATGCAGGTCGCCTTTTGAGTGCGTTTTAAGATAGAGAACTGAATCTCCACACTCTCGGCAGTACCAGAGTATTTGGGGGGTGTACAGAACATCAATAAAAGCTTTATAATTAAACTATTGAGATAAATGAAGAACTATCCAAACGTCAAATTAATCTTTCAAATGTAAAATTTTCTTTCTAAGAAAACTTAAAAATATTCCGGGATACTGATGAATAAAATTAATTTCCTGAATAATTAAATAGATTCTTCAAGCTATTCATCAACTAGGCACAAGCAACTACATTGTTGTTAAGGGAACTAGTGTTTCATTCAAAAACAATACAAAACCGTATCATTTTAGTAGTATAGTTCGAGGTGTTCATGTCTATTACTTGTTCACATGATTACATTAATTTTTCATGTAACAGTAAATCATGTCATTGTTATAATGTCTTTACAACTGAAACAAATATTATCGATTATATGTCAAAGATTTTTAGTAATATTAATTAAACCATGGTAACTTATTATTAGAAGTTTTACAGTATTTTAGACATGCTTAGTGATTGATAAATCATATCCAATTCTGTTTTCTTTTTTTTTGTGTATGGCAGAGTATTCTAGAAGATTAGAATCAGCATTTCTATAATGAAATCAGGGGATACCTACTCCTTATTTTTGATTAAAAGTTTTTCTACTTTTTCAATTACTTATATACTTATAACTGATTGATCATTGTATAGTGATCTGTGTTATTTCTGTCTAAGTCTTTAAGTATTGATCGAATTCTATGAATCCAATCACCATTGGATCATCAAACTAATTCTGAGATTTTACCAACATTTAAAGTACTAAACAAACATAACATTTCCAACTATTCAATGATCATTCAATTCTAAACATTATAGTTCTATTAAAGGTCAATCGTAATCCAAATAGCTTTGTAGTAATATCTCATATTATGAAGTTGGTAAATTTGAGTGAAGTGAGTTCATATCCACTGAGGAGTATCACATCATTCAAGATTTTAAATATACCTTAGTGACTAGCATCAACTAGCACAAAATCTAAGTTCAAAGTTTTCAGTTGACTACTTTCAATTATCTAACTTATATGACTGACAAACTGTAGAAATATCATTATTGTCTTAATATACTTTAAAGTTATTCTACACAAAAATTTAAAGAGAAAATTTCAATGGTTGAAATCATGAGTCAATTGAAGCTAGACCACCATGGAAAACCTGGAACCACTGGACGGCCATTTCGTCCTAGTATGGGACTCCTCAGCAGTGCGCATCCACGATCCTGCCCCTCTGCAAGATTCGAACCCAGGACCTACTGACTTCGTTCGCGAGTGCTTAACCATTAGACCACTGAGCCAGCCAGCATCCAGTGATGTTAATGTCTAACTTCAACCAATCCACGAAGTTGCACCACCGTACATCATTGTCTTCAGTCTGCTGATATCTCACAACAGACCTGGTTGAACTCCACTGGTAAAGGATTTTCACTAGAACTCCAGGAAATGCTTCTTGGAGTCAGTCACTAGTGAGCAGATGATTATTATCAGAAGGTGTTTTGTGGAGAATTTAGAAATTTGAATAGTTGAAATCATGAGTCAATTGAAGCTAGACCACTATTGTGGTCTAAAATTTCTAAAGTTTTCACAAAACCCCTTCTAATAATGGGGAAAAGTTTAAAAATATGAAAATTTATGGGAAAAAGAAATGTATGTTTAATGTTAACCAACATGAATGTGAAAATTGCCTTGAAACTTTCAAAAACTATGGAAAGGTTTTCATTAAAGATGAGCAAGATTGTTTTTTACCAGGAGGTATTTGTCGGAGGATTTGTTCTAGTTTAAGATTTCTAACCAGTGTACACTGCCAACTTCATACAACATTGAAGCTATTACATCTTACTCACCATATGAAGCATGATTTATCTATGGATTATATAATCATGAAATGGAAGTTTTTTTTCTAATACTGGTCAGTTTTTTGTTATTTAGCATCTTTATTATGGTCACTGTTACTAAGTAAATTATCATCCTTGTTTCTGCTTAAAATTTAATGTTTACATTACTAAATCACTACTATGAAGTACCTGGTTATATTGTAAGTACCTTTATGTATACCTTTACAAAATTTATCATACATATTCTGAAAAAGTTGGTAATTGATCAACAATAGAAAGAAAAACATTGACATTATTACGTAATTAAGTGACCAGGTCATCTAGGTTAATCAATTTAACATCAGGGCTGTTTACATACCATTGATACTGTTTTACTGAAGTGGGTTTCAATATTCTAAATAGAAATATCATTAAGTTCTTATGATTTAGACTCTAGGCGGTAGATCTTGTGATTAACTTAAAGTTTGAATGTAGACTACTACTACTACTACTACTACTACTACTACTACTACTACTACTACTACTACTACTATTACTACTACTACTACTACTACTACTACTACTACTACTACTACTACTACTACTACTACTACTACTACTACTACTACTACTACTACTACTACTACTACTACTACTACTACTACTACTACTACTACTACTACTACTACTACTACTACTACTACTACTACTACTACTACTACTACTACTACTACTACTACTACTACTACTACTACTACTACTACTACTACTACTACTACTACTACTACTACTACTACTACTACTACTACTACTACTACTACTACTACTACTACTACTACTACTACTACTACTACTACTACTACAGTGACAGCAGTGTTGTTTTAAAAGCTTTTATCATAAAATGTAAGAATACTTTGGGGTGATATTTTGTTCTTAGCAAATGTGGGTTAATATTCCATGTGGATTTCATTCAGGTTACAGTAAAGTTTTTTAATAAGAATATTAGTTTGGAAGGTAAATTTACAAATATGTATTGATTGAAGATAAACAACAATAACGTTGGATGCCGTCTCAATGGTTTAGAGGTTAAATATTCGCATACGAGACCGAAGCTCCTAGATTTGGTTCCTGCATGCGGGATGGTGGGTGTTTATCTCTAAGGAGTCCCACACTAGAACGAAATGGCCATACAGTACTTTCAGTTTTTCAGTGGTGGTACAACTTACATCGGTTCATGATTTCAGTGAAATTATAAATATGTACTGAATAAGTCCCTTCTTACTCTATTGTAAAATTCGGTAGCTTGAACTAATACAATTCTGTTTGAAGTTATACAATGAAAACTTTCTAGAGTCCTACTGTATCATTAATCAATCATTGGCAAAGTAGAAAGACGTTATCATAAAACATTTCTCTACAAAGATTTTTAATCCTTGTTCTACCAAGGAAGTGCCAAGGAAGTGTTTCATTTTGATGACTTTCCGACACTAAGTTATATATATTACAGTGTGCTTTCATAAAATATAGAAACTATACATTAAATATTTTATTTGCATATATTCTTTCAATGGTCCTTTATATGCTTCATGTATCTTTCAATTCTATTATTATTACAGTTACTCTCTGTTCCATTTTCTGTTGTTTCCAATCCAACCTTCTGCTATCAGGTATTCTACTTCTGATTAGTGTGACATATTACTTATATCTATCAACATAAGTAGCACATATCCCATCATAAGTAATGTTGTTCATTTACTGGTTATAAATTGATAATTGATGAGTCGATTCGGGAGTTTTACTAATTGGAAATATTTATTTAAGGTTATGATTACATTGAAAATTAGATTTGGAATACGTAAGTTTTCATCTTGAAACAAAAGATTTCTCTTTATCCATTTTCAAGTTTTATTGTAACTGGACTGAATTGCCTTAATTAGTCTTTCATAAATCAATTTAGCTATGGTTTAAGAAGAGACGGATGATAGCTAGCAATGAAATCTAGAACGTACGTTTCATCCTAGTTTGGGACTCGTCAACTGTGTGTATCTGCATCCCAGAGTTGGTGTTCACTCCGCGACTCTAATCCAGTACCGTTCGCTTCAAACGTTATCATGTTTTCCACTTACCTACTGAATCCAGATAACTATCAGATTGTCAATACGATGACTATCTGGACTCAGTAAGTAACTGGATAACATGATGTCATTTAAAGCAACTGGTACTGGTTTCATGTCCCAGATTGAACATCAACTCTGGGATTCAAGTACGTCCAGCTAACGAGCCTTAAAATAGGACGAAACACATATCATGGTTCTGATTGTTAGTCACCAACCGTCTTTGCTTATAATGCTTGTGACTTAAGTCGATATCAAAGCAATTCGCATAAGAAACACATATGTCACTAAGAGACTGATCAATTACAGTTGTAAGTATCAATGAAAAGATCCAAACAATCAATACAAAAATGAATTTAGCTACGTGTTTTTTAACTTTTAAAAACTATTAAAATATTTGAATCATAGAAACAAAGAAAAAACACAGAGAAAGCGCTCATTAAATTACAGTAAATATGTCAATCTTCATATTATGGAATGATAAATTCCATTTTTTTTTGTTTTTTTTTGGATGAAAATATTTCTTAAGTTTTATTCTAAATAGTAGATACATTTAATAGACAGATATACTTTAAGATATATAGATTATAGTAATTTTAATAGTTGAGATCATGAATCAATTGAAGTTAGACCACCTTGGAAAACCTGAAAGCACTGGATGGCCGTTTTGTCCGAGTATGGGACTCCTCAACAGTGAGCATTCACTATCTCACCTCGCGGGATTCGGACCTAGGACCTATCGTTCTCGAGAGTGGACGCTTAACCATTAGATCAATGAGCCGGCCGAAATCCAACAGTATTAATGTGTAACTGCCAAGTTTTTCATGATGGTCTAGCTTCAATCGACTCATGATCTCAACAATTGAAATTACTAAAATCTTCACAAAATTCCTTTCTGTTATTGATTAACATATGTTCACTAGTGACTAGCTTCAAGAGGTATTTCCTGGAGTTGTAGTGAGAAGCAGTGACCAGTGAAGTTCAACCGGGTCTGTTGTGAGAAAGTAACTCACTGATGACAGTGGTGGACTGTGGCGCAACTTCGTGGATTATTTGAAGTTAGACATTTACACCGTTGGATTTTGGCCAGCTTAGTGGTCAAGAAGTTAAGCGTTCGCGCTCGAGACTGATATGTTCTGGGTTCGAATCTCGCGGGGTGGCGGGAACGTAGATGCGCACTGGTGAGCAGTCACAAAATAAGACGAAACGGCAATCCAGTGTTTCTAAGTTTTTCATGGTGGTCTAACTTTAATTAATTCATGATCTCAACTATTGAAATTACTATAATCTCCACAAAACCCCTTCTGATACAAATCAGCTTTAATGCCAAAACTATTTAAACAAACAGATGAAGGAATTTCTCACCAAATTCCGAGACTTATTATCTGATACCTGATTGGTTTGTTCATAAATTGTAGTTTCGCCCTAAAGTTCTTTCATAGTCTATTGAATAATAACTATGGATTTTCAATTTTGATTCATATGTTCTTCTATCACAATGAATATATTGTACTCATAGTTTATCATTAATCAATTATTTTGATTTGCTTCATTGAGAAGACTTACTATATATGTATCTCTATCTATATTAAAAGCATGTTGATAATTATAACACGCCCAAAATACTTTGAATAGAATATTTGTTCAAATCTATAAAAAAAATTTCATCTTTCAATAAAGACAATAATGAAAATACAAACCAGCTTCCAGTTGAAGAGAAAATTAGAAAAAGACGATAGAAGTGGATAGGACATAAATTATGAAAATCACCAAATTGTATCACGAGGCAAGCTTCAACTTTGAATCCTGAAGAGAAGCGGTAAAGAGGAAAACTAAAGTACACAACTACGTCGGGAAATTATAAGCATATATATAAAGAGGATGAATAACAACTGAAAAGTTCGAGAAAGGATTGTTGAGAACAGAGTTGAATGGAGAGTGTTTGGTAAGTGGCCTATGCTCCTCCACGAGGAGTTGATAATCATTATAAAATAGAATATTCTCTCAAACTTATAAAAAACAAACAAACAAAATTTTCATCTTTCAATAAAGACAATAATGAAAATACATTTGATCGCTTAAATTTCTTATCTTAAATAAAAACTGACATTCTATTCTATTCTACTCTATATTGTTTTACATCTTTTTGTATTCTGTGTTTTCTTTTTGTTTGTTTGTTGTTGTTGAAATGAACCGCACCCAAATTAACTTTTTGTTTTATAAAAAAAAAGAGGGAAACTGATTGAAGAATATTGTTATTTAATCTGTATTAATGGGTATATATTTTATCGATTGTTGTCGTTGTGTTATGAAGATAGTTATCTCTAATTATTGAATATCAGACTTATTTGGATATTATAAGTGAGGATAAATGGTGGTTCATATTGGATATTTTAACATGCATGTTTTGTCGCATTTCAGAACCCAGTACCGTTCGCTTCAAACATTATTATGTTGTCCACTTAGCTACTAAGTTCTGATAACCATTTGCTTGTTCAATGGGATAAAGTTTAAATTTACTTGGTGTTATTTTACTTGTATCATCTGATTGTTATTTAACACTGTAATTGATCAGTTTCTTGTTGGTATATGTGTATTCTGTGCATATTGCCTCGATAGTAACTTAATTCATAAGCTTTTTAAGTAAAGTTGGATAATGCTTAGCAATGAAATACAATTTGACATAAGATTTGTCTTATTTGGAACCCGTCAACTGAATGTACTTACATCCAAGTGTTGATGTTCACTCCAGGATTCTGATCAAAAGTGAATTTATTGAATACTGAACATTCAATTTATTTTTATTAACAGAAAAAAAAATCACAAATGTACTTTTCATTTTGTTTATTGATTATTTTAAAAAAATTGATAATTTATCACAAACAAACAAAAATCATAAATTAGATGGATACTGGTATTCATTAACAAGTTAGTTACGTTAGCTAATTAAGTTTTGATATGGATTGATGATAAACAAGATCAACATACACATAAAATTGGTCAGTGATTGATTGAATTAAACAAAAAGATTTTAAAAGTAAATTTCACAGCGGATGATCAACATAGTTTTGTTAAATAAAACAAAGCTTTTAAGGACATTGTATTTGTTTAGAAAGATTAACGTTTGATAATAGTTATCTATCTATCTATCTATCTATCTATCTATCTATCTATCTATCTATCTATCTATCTATCTATCTATCTATCTATCTATCTATCTATCTATCTATCTATCTATCTATCTATCTATCTATCTATCTATCTATCTATCTATCTATCTATCTATCTATCTATCTATCTATCTATCTATCTATCTATCTATCTATCTATCTATCTATCTATCTATCTATCTATCTATCTATCTATCTATCTATCTATCTATCTATCTATCTATCTATCTATCTATCTATCTATCTATCTATCTATCTATCTATCTATCTATCTATCTATCTATCTATCTATCTATCTATCTATCTATCTATCTATCTATCTATCTATCTATCTATCCAAACATCTATCTATCTATCTATCTATCTATCTATCTATCTATCTATCTTTCTATCTATCTATCTATCTATCTATCTATCTATCTATCTATCTATCTATCTATCTATCTATCTATCTATCTATCTATCTATCTATCTATCCAAACATCTATCTATCTATCTATCTATCTATCTATCTATCTATCTATCTATCTATCTATCTATCTATCTATCTATCTATCTATCTATCTATCTATCTATCTATCTATCTATCTATCTATCTATC